AAATAATTAGTTAACATTCAAGGAGTGCACAGTGGGCCAGCAGTGAGCAAAAATTAAAAAAATGAGCAAAACCAACCTTTAACAATTCAAAAATTTTTAATCTTTTTTGAAAGTGAGTAACCTGAAGAAAATTTAAATGGTTGTTATATTATGTTTTAGTTAATATAATTATTGTTAAATTGATTTTATAATGTTAATATTGTTAAACTGATTTTATATGTAGTTATTAATTTTGATCACTTTTTCATGTTTCTGGCCCACTGTGCAGTGGGCCTAAAATCATTTTGTTAAAAAATCACTAAAGGGCAAATGTTTTCAAGCATTTAAACAAAGGCGAACTTTTTTATTATTTCCAAAAGATGTCACTAATATTTCTAAGATACAACACGTTATTTATGATAAAAACAACATTGTTGTTGCAAATGATAAATAACATTATATATAACTGCGTCACTTGGATTTGATTTACAATTTAAGCGGATAAAGAAGCTTGAAAATAAGTGAAGTTTGAACGGTATTTTATGAAGTGCACCACCACTTTTGTGAAATATTATGTTCATAGTTTTGTCATTGACATGAATTTGTGAGTTTTATCATACTTCGCTTTAACGCGTTGCAATGCGTAAAATTAAAATATGATAAAGTTCTAGTATAATGTGACTCTTCGTTCACATTTCCATGTTAACGACAAAACTATTTGCATGATATTTCATAAAATTGGTGGTGCACTTCATAAAATAGAGTTCAAATTTTACTTATTTAGGGTATGAGCTATTACTGAAAAATTTTCAGAATTTTTTTTTGGCTTATTTTTATAAGTTTAACGTCACAGCTCCCGGCCTTAAATGAGAAAAATGTTTCTTCTTAGATTTTTACATATATTCTTGATATTTATAAATGTAAATAAATCTTTACTCTGACAGTTTGAAAAAGATCTTTTTCTTTAACTTGAGTTAATTTTTATAGTTTTAACAGAGTTTTTTTTACTCTTGGGCCAATTTGCCCCAAAATGGGAAAACGGGCTTTGTGTATTTTTACATTTTTACCTTGTTGTCCTGAATGGGCGATTGGGCCAAGAACAATCAAAGTTCTGTAGAAGAAATTAGACCTAATATTTTCTTGTTATTTATAAATGTTAACAAATTTGTTTACCCTGACCGTTTGAAAAAACTCTATTTCTTTATTTAAAGTTAATTTTTACGGTTTAAACGAAGCTTTTATAGCTTTTGATCCAATTGCCCCAAATGGGTAAACGAGGAGTGGAATTATTACCTAGGCTCCCCTAATATGAGAATGATAATTTGTAGAATTGAATGCTTTAGTAAAAAAGAAAACAATAAAAATAATTCAGCATAAATACTTCAATGAAATTCCTTCTTGATAGCATATGGAAAATAAATTTATTATCAAAATTTAGTGCCATAATTCCTTAAGAAAAACTCAGCAAATCTTGACGCCAAATAGGCATTATTGAGCCTATAATTATATGCGGATATAATTATATGCGCATATAATTATATGCGGATAATGAAGAAGCTTTCAGAATGTGTTCATTTTTTAAATTTGGATAACTGGTTCCCAAGTTATGACAATCTATGTTGGGCTCAATAATGCCTATTTGGCGTCAAGATTTGCTGAGTTTTTCTTAAGGAATTATGGCACTAAATTTTGATAATAAATTTATTTTATTGATGATTTTATTTACAGTAGGCACTTCACACGATTTTACTATTACAATTATCTCTTGTTATAATTAATACCATTATATAATGGTATTAATTATAACAAGAGATAATTGTAATAGTAAAATCGTGTGAAGTGCCTACTGTAAATAAAATCAATACATTTTGTTTTGAATCGTTTTACAAATAGCCAACAACACAACATTCAATATTTTTTGTTCTACTAATAGAGCTTTTTGTTTATATTATACAATTATACAGTGTAATTACGACACTTTAATTAAAAACCGCAAAAAACCGCAAAAAACTGCCGTCTATTTATTCTGCTTTTGGAATTTTCAAACTTATTATTAAAATTCACCTTTTCGATGTTATTCTGGAAAGTCCATTTTTATGTTAATAGAAACCATCCCACCGACCACGTGGGATCCCACGTGGTCGGTGGGATGGTTTCTATTAACATAAAAATGGCATAATATCTCATAGTTATATGGTTGGAAGGATGGAGGGATGATAGTGAATTTATAAATGTTTCGTATTACAGCTGCTTATTAATCCGATTATAAAAGGTATATAAGGCGTGGTTTATATATTATTGTTTAAATGTTTTTGATGTTTTTAGCGTTGGTATCGGTTACACATTGTGATTGGTGTGGCCGTACAGCTTGTAAGTCATTATATAATGAATGTGTTGATCATAACCTGTTTGCATGCGATTTTTGGAATTTATGTGGGTGCACTGAAACTGTTCAATTTTCAGATGGGCGACGATTATTACTTTCAAATTCCCGAAGGGTTCAACAAGAATCAAGCTCAGTTTAAACAAAATAAGGTGAACCCTAAAAAGTCTTTACAGGTTGCCCCTGGATGGGATAATCAAATATTTGGTGTTAATGAAAAAAACTTTAAGAATAAAGAAGTTGCTCGTATTGTTGAATCAGTTGTTACTGGTTTAACTGGTGCTATTAACCCTAAAAGTGTTGTTAATGCAGTTAAAAATGTTAAAGCTGTTGCTGGTTTAGCTAAGGAAACGGTACCTTATATGCATATGCCTAATGTTCGTAAAATATTGAAATCTGCATTGTTACCTAAAAATAATATGAGTAAAACCGAGTATATAGCTCTAAAGAAAATGGGTAAAACAAGACCTACTAATATATTTAAAGATATGTTGTATTCTGATTCTGATTGGTCTCGTTCTAGTACTTCCAATACTAGTTCTGTTTATTCTAATTCAACTAAAGTAGGTAATGTTACTGATATGAGTACGGTGTCTCAAAGTGTAGAAGGTTGGAATTATGATCCTGATTATCAACCTGTCCCACAGGATGATTTACCTGATTATATGAGACTTAAACCCGGACAAGTTGATATATACGATCCTAAAGAGATTCCTTATATTAAAGAAGCCAAAATAGCTAAACAGTTGCATAAATATAGTTTTGAACCTTATCAATTTCCTAAGTTTTATGACGAATTACCTAAATATGCAATGCCATGGAGTGTTATGAAGGAGAGTCAGTCTATATTAGAGAAGTTGTTTGGGAATTATTCATTTGATGTAGCAGCAGCCTATGGTGCGGACACACAGAAGAATTTTCGTTCATCCAAAAGGAAGAAAAGGTTGGTCGCAGAGAGGTTATCACGTAACTAATGGCAGAGCAACCCCCGAATCACGAAGTCAGCGCGTCTCCCGATTTCGTTATAGAAAGAGGGTTTAATTGCAGTAAAGGTTATTATGATGAATTTTGTGTTGAGAAATCTATTTATTGGTATGCTGAATGTACTAATGACACTGTTCAGAATATTTATTATTTTCCTGTTGATTTTCCTAATCTCTGGACTGATACCGATCAATATTTTATAGCTTTTGGTGGTATTTATTATATTGATAAATATGTTGAATGTGATGTTATGGATGTTCGTGTTGAAAATCAACTTAAAACTACCCAAAATTCTTCTGTGCCATTGGAGATGTCTAATATTGGTTTGAGATTTTTTGATATTGAAGGTGATCAGCTTATATCTGATGTTATGTATCCTTTGGCTGATTCTGATGATTATGCTAAAATATATAACCTAAAGTTTACATCTAATGACAAGAAACCGTCTCCTTTGCTTACCGTAAAGTTGCTGGAGAATTCTTTGTTTTTTAATGATAAAGCTGGTAAACCTGTTACTACACGATTTGCTAATGTAGTTAATACCAAGGATCCTAGATTTTCTGAAAAGAATAATGTTGCAGAGAAGGTTATTCATAGTATTGTTTGGAAAAATGATGTTGGTTTACGTAAGCCTATTAAGCTGTTACTTAATGATCCATATTCTAGTACCCCATTTAAATTTACAGATACCTCTTTGAATAAAGGTGGTCAGTTTATTGATTCTTCTGCATCTTTGGAACGTCAGAAGGCTAATGGATTTTTTGATGAGACATGGAATATTATTAATACTTATCCCTTTGTAATACTTATCCCTTTGTAATATTATCCCTAAGTAATACTTATCGTTTTGGTCATGTTCATATGCCTAATTATGGACTTAAAAATCTTATTGCACGTTCTATAGTATCGGAAGGCGATGACAAGCGTAAAAATATCCGTTATCCTGTACAATTAGATAGGTGGTATTTGCAGAGGCAGGGTATATCTCCTTATAAACAATATAATACTGGTAATACATTTACTATTTACAATCCTATAACACCTTATTGTTCTGATTCAAGAGATCCTTATAATATTGAGCAATGTTTTGATGTTTATTTACAACCTTATGATGAATTTGATCACTCCTCTGTATTATTTAAAAATTGTTCTAATTATGATGTTAGCGCTGGTGATAAGTTTAAGTATTATCCAATAAGTATTATTAATAGTATCTTAAGTGATAAGATACTATTAATAATACTTATTGGAATAACTTACCTACTGTTATGCCGTTTGCTGGGAATAAAAATTGTAAACGTTTATATTTTTGTATCGATCCTGCTTATATTGGTAAAGATGTTATGCCTACTACTGTTAGAGGTCCTTTACGTTTAAGACATCGTATTCAAATATTTGAGCGCGATTGGACTTATGATCAAACCCGTGTTGACCCTGTTAATGATTTGTATAAACGTCCTACTATTAAACAATCGCGTTTTGGTAAAGATGCTACTTATACTACAGTTACTATGTCTAATCCATGTATTAAAAATAATGATAAAATAACTTTTTTAAATTGTTATCAGAAGATATTTTATCCTGCCTTTTCTACTATGTTTGTTGGTAAAGCTGAGAATATTGAAAACAGCGAACCCGCAGATAAAAACAAAAGTTAATGTAAATTACGTATATTAATAAAAAATATTTACAAAAAAATGTAATCTTGAAATTTGTCCAATACCCCTTCAGTGTCGTAGTCTTTGTCTTGTTTATGCATGCTCAGCATATATAATAACTCTGGACCACAGGTATTTATTTCCCTGAGTTCTTTGTCATTAAATATGTTGAGTAGCGGTGTTCCCAGGAAGAGTATCGTACACCTATTTTCAAATGCCTGATACTCGGACGGATGTCATTTTAGTATGTTGAATTTAGAAGAAGAGTTCATTGTGATAAGAGTTGGATGTGGATCGATAGGCATTGCGTCCTTGTATTTCACATCTGTTGTAAGTGTACTTGACCCTTCCAATAGCTGCTTCATTAATTGAATCACGCCTAGGTGCTCAAAAACCATCTCGTCACATCTATAAGCTAAGCAATTACTTAAGGCCTGTAATAAGAATGATGATGGGTTTGGGCCAGTAGGACAGTTGAAGTAACCGATCTCATGAGGTCTACGTAACTCCTCACTCTTTGATAACTCGTCATCGTATTGTCTTGAATTCATTATGTTATGTGTGAATAGGTAATTTGCAAAATTTTGTTTCAGTTGTGCCTTAAGTGGCTGTCTTTGAGTTATTGTTGTTTTGTCTTAAATATAGTCAACATCTTAAATATAGTCAAAATGTGATATGTGCCTTAACGTAGCTAATCACGCTTAAGCACGTAGATAACACTATTTTTGTAGTAAGAAGGGGTATTAACGTGCTTAACCGTAATTCGCGAGTTACAGGTTGTACAGTGATGTCCGTACCGTTTTCTGTTAATGTCGGCACATCCCTTGCAGAGGTATTGGCGTGCTCTGAAGAAGGCTCTCCTGATTCTGAACTGTTCTCCTTCTGGTGATCTCTCCGCTCTTTCCAGTACATATGAGGCGAGGATGCAATGCGTGTGCAAGGTTCCACTATATTCCGACTTTTTCCCGTCAAAGTACTTACATATGGTATGAGTTTTTGTACATAAATCGAGGGCGTCACAACGGGTTTCCTTTTGATTGTACCAAATGCTGTGTGTTGGTTTTCCTGAATGTATAACATGGTATATGTCAAACCCGCATCTAAGCTCTTTATTAAAACACAGAAGTTCCTAAAATTATTTATTTATTATGTTATTTATTAAAGCTATACAAAACATTTTTAAAATATCGTTTTTATCAATTATAGTTACCGAGTTGTCTAATTTCAGTTCTGTGCATCTGTCTGTTCGTGTTGTGTTATCGCAACATGCGATGTCATCTTCCTCGACCCATTCCTCATCTGATGAGATTTCAATAATATTGCCTCCGCATGTTTTATTTGGCGTTTCTTGATCTTCAACAGGGTCTTCATGCTTTGTTTGAACAACTGCTGGTCCTTCTTGACAATCCAAGATAAATCCCTCAATTCCAGATTCTCTAGGTTCTGCTAGTGGGCGGAGGCGGGGTGTGTCAGGGGTTGGTCGGGAAGAGATGAATTTATAAATGTTTCGTATTACTGTCACTTTAAACAATAGACTTAATACCCTATTATAAAGGGATAATCTTTTTGTTTTTTTCTCAATTATTTACCATAGAAACATCAATCAAACTTTACAATATAAAGTAAATTTATTAAACATAATTCAAATATGAGTTTAACAAGCGACAATAACAACGATGTTGAAACTTTTCACGAAGATAAATTATACGACGATAACAACGAAGTTGTAACTTTTCACCAAGATAATCTATACGCGAACGATTTGTATTGGAGTATACAATGCCAAACGTCAGAAAAACATCTCGAGGTAAAGAAAGAGCACCAAAGCGACGAATCGATACAAATTCTCCTATCATCAAAAGAAAACTTGACTATATCGAACACGAGTTACTCAAAGGTCACAACGAATACCAATTCAGAGAACTCCTTAACGAGTACTACACCCTTACTGGAAAAGAACACCCGATACGAAACAGCATTGCAAATATTGAAGATACGTTACCACAACAACAGGAAGAATCAGATACAATTACAGCAGGATTTTATTCCTTTTTTCACAGTTTCGATATAATTCCGGAAAGTCCCGTTTCGATATTGTTCCTTTTTTTACAATTTCGATCTAATTCCGTTTTTTGAAATTTCGATACTATTCCTTTATTCACAGTTTCGATATTGTTCCGTAAGTCTTTTTTCAATATTATTCTCTTTTGAGCTGTTTCGAGATTATTCTGCTTTTAGGATTTTCGATACTAATCCTTTTTTAACAAATTTGAAATGTTTTCTTTTTCGATATTATTCCGAAAGGTCCCTTTTCGATGTTATTCCTTTTTTCACAATTTCGAGGTTATTCTATTTTTCGGATTTTCGATACAATTCCTTTTTTAACAATTTCGATGTTATTCTCTATTTCGATGTTATTCTGGAAATTCCAATTTCGAGATTAATCAGTTTGGCTGTTTTCGATACTGTTACTGCTACCCAAATATATTAAAGTTTTTATAAATAACGTACATAAAGATATTTTACAAAATTGAGATTGCATATTTAAATTAAGCAAACACAAATGAAATGGTGTTAAGAACAAAAAGTTCTCATAATTAAGTCATAATTAAATAAGAAATGAAAATCAATTTAAAAGAAATCTTTAATAAAATTTGTATACTATAAAATATTCTTTTTAATTAGTTTTTTAATAAAAAAAGCAATTTATATTTTAAATTAAATTATTTAATTTAATGGCTTCTGAGAGAGTGAAAACTTTTTTTTCACGTGGCTTTATAGTATTGTTATTGGATTCCAATACTTTTTTATAGAATAACTAATTATTATAGGCAAAAAGCATATACATCATTCCCCTACCCCTTCTTTAAAATCTCTTCGGGACGCCCCTGAACATGGAACCAGTATTATTATGATTTTGAAGGAATGTTAACCAGTTTACACTTTGTAAATTTTCACAAAAATTAGCATAAGCTAATTTTTATGAAAATTTTCTCCCACAATTTGGGAGGTATTAATTTTCTCCCACAATTTGGGAGGTAACACCTTAATAGAGTCCATCAAAATTGTACAGTGATTAGAGCAGCCAAGTGGACTTAGCTTTTTTGAAATGTTATACAGTTCGGTAATAAAAATACTCATCTTGGGCAGATGTTAAATGCATCCGGCTGCTGTCTTGTAGAAGGCCTCCTAGGCAAAGACTTAAGGAGTAAACAAATTCTATCTGTTGACGAGTTTCACACCCCTTCTTTATCTATGAGGCTAGCGCAGATGTATTTTTAATAAATTGTTTCCAGTTTAGGATGATGAATGCTGGATCTTCTTGACCCGATGCATGGGTTTTCTTGCGTCTCTGTTTTTATGACAAGGCAACTCATTCTATTATCTCCTAATGAGCGTACAGCTCTAAAATTTTATATTTTAACCAGTTTTATGGTTCTGAGGCCGGCTGGTAGTCAGGTTTCCCGAACTCTGTGGTAGCTCTTAGGCTGATTCTATCAACAGCTGAAAAATATCAAAGTACTAACAGTGCCATGTTGCGCATGGGTGGTGTCCCTGTTTGTACTTTTGGTGTGCATTGCCAAAGCCATATTAAATCCCTTTGTTACGGCTTAGGGTTTATTAATAGTAATGAGGCAATTGCTTGGGTTATAAAACAGTGTACTCAGTACTATCTATGTTTCGAGTAAAGTTCTTTAACAAATTTAAAAATGAATAACATAAACTATAAAACACAAAAAACCACTGTCATTATCAAGTTCCCTAAACCTATCATTCACTAAAATTCGTGGTCTTTGAAGTAACTTATCTTCTGTTGAGTCTTGTCTCTTCCAAGGTTCACCAGACCTACTTGCTCTTTGTGAGACTAATTTGAGTTTGACTATCTTATCTTGTGATCTTAGTGTTGATGGTTATCTTTCTTTAATTCATAAAGACTCCAATAGTCACATGCTTGGCCTGGGCATTTACATTTGTAAGAATTCACTCATTTGTCAGGAAACTAGGTTTGAATCCACATACTATTCCTTTATGTACCTCTGCTTAGCACCACTTCACTCTATCGCCTTTCTCTTTGTTTCATATCATTCTCCTTAATCTCAAAACTGCATTCTTTTTTATGTTATTTCTGATCAAATGACCTAGCCCTTCATCTTTATCCTTCAGCCAATATAATTGTTGTTGGTGACTTTAATGCTCATCACACTGAATGGCTTGGCTCTAGGGCCAGTGACTCTTCAGACATTAAAGCCCACAACTTTTGACTTTCTCAATCCCTAACTCAAATAGTCAACTTTCCAACTCGCTTTCCAGACAACCCGAATCATTCACCTTCTCTACTCGACCTGTCTTGTTTCTGATCTTTGTCAGTGCTCAGTTTCTCCACATTCACGCTTAGGTGCTTTCGATCATGATTTGATCTCTTTAAAACTATTATCTAATTCTTCTTTATCATCAAAATCCCCCTATTTTTGTACATCTTACAATTACCTTAAAGCTGACTGGGACTCTTTCTGTGATTTTCTTCGTGATGGCCCTTGGTTAGAAATCTTTCGTCTTCCTGTTGAGAAATGTGCTTCTTACATAACTTCGTGGATTCAGGCTGGCATGGAAACCTTTATTTCTTCTCAACGATTCCAGGTCAAGCCTCACTCTTTTCAATGATTTTCCTCACATTGTGCTGCTCCATATCTATCAGCAAAACAATTCTCCAGAAAACAGACGTCTGTTTATTACTGCTAGAAACAATTGTAAAAGGATTTTATCTAATGTTAAAGCCCGCTATTCTCAGGTCATGAAATCTCGTATTTCATCACAAAAATTAGGATATCGTGACTTCTGGAGAATCTTTAGTATCAATAATAAGGGCAAATTGTAATTGTAATTGTAATTCCACCTCTTTTGTATGGTTTATCACCTTTATCACCTCACCTAAAGACAAAGCTGAACTGTTTGCTAAGAACTTTTCATAAATATTGATTTCACTAGTTGCGTTCTACCTGATATAGCCGCCAAACAGGTTGATCCATTGCTTAACATTGGTATCACTTCAATCTCTGTATCTAATGATTTCCTGCATAGATCTTTCTACAGCTAGTGGCCTGCACAACATACCTGCTATAGTCTTGCAAAAGTGTCCTCTATACTTTCAAAACTATTCAACAAGTGCTTATCAGAGTCATGTTTTCCAGCCTGTTGGAAAGCTGCATCTGTTATCCCTATTTTCAAAAACTCTGGGGAGCAATCTGATTAGTCTAACTACCGTCCCATTAGTTTTCTTCCTATCATAAGCAAGATTTTTGAATCTTTAATTAACAAACACTTAATCTCTCATCTTGAATCTAATAACTTACTTTCTGATCATCAATATGGATTTCAATCTTCTATTTCTACGGCTGATTTGCTAACAGTAATAACCAATAGGTTTGATCGTGCATTAGATAAAGGTGGAGAGGTTGAGGCCATCACTCTTGATATTTCTAAAGCGTTTGATAAAGTTTGGCATGCTGGTTTTCTTCATAAGCTTTCTTCTTATGGTGATCTGGAAACATCATTAAATTTATTGAATCCTTCCTTTCGAATTGTAGTATAAAAGTTGTCCTTGATGGACAGCACTCCTCTTCTTATTCTGTAACCTGAGGGGTTCCTCAAGTTTCAATCTTTGGCCCTATGCTCTTTTTAATTTACATTAACGATCTTTCAGATATTCTCACATCTAAGTTGGCATTGTTTGCTGATGATGCTACCATTTATTCTTGTCACAATATGAAACCAACTCCCTCTGATTGCTTGCAGGGGGCATTTAAGCTTGAAAAAGATCTCACTTCTGCTACAGCATGAGGCTCACAGTGGCTGGTGAACTTTAATTCAGATAAAACTTTTTTTCAGCCAATCGTTATCGCAATACTTTAGACCTTCCTGTATTTATGAACGGTTATGCACTCGATGAGTCATCTACCCTTCATCTTCTAGGGTTAACTCTTACTTCTTGGATCTTTCTGGGAAACCATATATCAAATCCGTTGTAAAATTAGCATCTGCTAAAGTTGCATCTCTTTATTGAGCTCAACACTTTCTTACCTCGGATTCTATTCTCTATCTCCATAAATCTCAAATCCGGCCCTGTATGGAATACTGTTGCCATATCAGAGGCGGATCTTCTAACAATGCTCTATCTCTTTTAGACAAGGTGCAAAAACACATTGTAAACATAGTTGGACCTGCTCTTACAGCCAACCTTTAACCTCTGTCACATTGTCAAAATGTTGCTTCTCTTTCTCTTTTCTACAAATACTATAATGGGCACTGCTCTAAAGAGCTAGCGTCTCTTGTGCCATCTACTAAAATTCATTCTCGTGTTAATCGTCTTTCAATTAGGTCTCATCTTTTTACTGTTACTGTTCCTAAGTGCTCCAAAAACTCTTATTTTTCTAGTTTTTTTTCTCAATCATCAGTTCTTTGGAATTCGCTTTCTTCATCTTGCTTTCCTGATTCATATAATTTGCAATCTTTTAAATCGTCTGTCAATCGTTATCTTGCTCTACAATCTTCATCTTTTTTCTTCCAGTAACTTCTAACTCTAATTAGTGGTTGCTTTGCAGCCACTAATTAGAGGAAGCAAAGATGTTTAAGAAAAACAAAAAAACAATCTGACTGCAAGAAAATTCGGAACTTCCACATACAATTGACAAAATTCAAAAAAAAAAAACAATACTTACCGTATATCAAAACTTACAAGACTCTCCATTTTTTATCGTGGCCTAATGCTATGGAATCATTTTAGGTTTGAATCGTAAACTTAGAGAAGGAAGTACCGCTCAAAAATTAAAAAACAACATGATTGAACAAATTGCCAACC